ATCTGTTATAAGGGACTAACAGATCTCTACCATGCTAATTTTTCTACCAATGTTTATTCCGGCAAACTGGAATCCATCATATGAAGATTTTGGAAAGGGTGTGTTTGCTCTATCTTGCTTGCTAGGCTGTGGGCATGGGGGTGCTAGAAAATGGCATTTTGAAGGAGGGGAGGCTAGGGCCCAAGCCAGGTGCAACCTGTAGAACAAGTAGCTTTGAGGATGAGTTCCAGGGAAATCGATTTGACAAGCAATTGGATGGCGCCAAGGGGAAGGAAATCAGATGACTTCCAATGAACACTGATAAATCTGCCACATGCGTCTCCAATGAGCCTATAGGTTTTAGGTTGCATGCATGGAGAGGGATGTTGAATACCTAAGCCAAATGCCTTGAGGGAGGAAGGCACCCAAGTTGATATTCCATTTGGAGAGAAGAGAATGCCTCTCCTCAGTAAAGGCCTACAACCAAGGTTGGGTTCAACCTAGACCTTCTGAGTGCATTTTTCCATACCCCTAAGGTCGGCTTGAGGGGGGTGGAAATGGCCCACAAGGGAGTTGTTTGAGTCTTCGAGAACGTCGGGCAAATGGTGGAGGAATTGCGCAAAGATGACGAGAATGCGGGTGGGGTGGGCCACGAGGGTTTGGGGGGAGGAAGAGACTAGGGAGGCGGGGGTGGAAAAGGTGGACGTAGTTTTGGTAGAGGGGAGGAAGGGGGGAGCAGAAGGGGGAAGAGAGGAGGGAGGGCTCATTGAAAAAAAAGCAAAAAAAGACTAGACCACCGATTTGGAACCACGACCAACACTCCAACTTGCTCCCTCAAGAAAATTAACTTAAATGACATTTGACATACTGCATATTCGGTGTCATGTAAGATTGTTGGGGATAGTTTTCTCTCTCATGTAATGTCAATGGGACTGGTTTTTATAGTACTGCAGGGGTATTTGGTTCTTCTTCAGGTTGCACAACAGTCTCCACCAGTTGGAGTGCATTCAACAAGTGCAAGGAGTATGACCACATTGGGGCCCCTTCCTCTCCTTCAACTACTTGAACCACGTCAAGGAGTTAGTTTTGTGGCACTTCCTCAATTGTTAGTTGCCCCAGCAAATAAAGCAGCCTAAGAAGGCATTTCAGTGTGCCTCTCCCTTTGATCGTCCCCTTCTCAACCCTGGTTGCAATGTGGTACCAAACTCTGTCACCATCAAGCCCTAAAGACGATTCCACATGTGGACTTCACCTCACCATGAGTGTTGTATTCTAGGGCCTCAACAGCCACCATAACATTAGGTTAGTCTCGCACACCTTTCCTCCTTAACCCAGCCTAGGCCCAACCTTATGTCCCAATACAAATATGAACAACCTGTCCTCCTCAGTCATGATCCTGATATCCAAGAGACACAAACTTCTTCACATAATTCCTCACTGAGCCAATCTGTCAAATTTTCACAAAGCCTCGCAAAGAACCATGGTCTCACTGCCTAGCAAGAAATAATCATTCAACTCCATTTTCAAGGACTCTCAGTGACTCTCAATGCTCAACTTGGGCCTTAAGAGGCCCTCGACTCGCATCTATCGCTAGTATTACATGGCCATATGCCAAAATGGTCATCCTTATGGGCATGAGCAGCCTCAAATTACTGCTCCATGCCCCATAGGATGTTCTCCAACCCCTTGGGGTCCTTCATGCCTTCGAATTCCCCAACTTCTTGAACCCTCACATTTCAAGATTTAGCATTCCATGTTGTTTTAAAAGGCCTTCTTGATGGGGGTAGTGTCTTCTTACAGGGCCATGGAGGACTTGAGGTCCACAAGCCCTCCCCACACGAGCACTGCAAGCACTACATCTCTCCTCCATGTTTGCATCCAAGACACTAAACTGAAAATCTAGGGCGGTGATGCTTGGTCCCATCCCACCATCCTGAACTCCTTGTGTCATGATGTGCTCCAACTATTCTGCAGGTATGTGGCACATTCTCGAATTGAACTGGGACACCATCAGCTGTGATCACCAAGCTATGCGCTGATACCAACTGTCACAAGGCTACTTTTTATTATTGCTCAACCATGGGGCCCCAAGACCAAATTTGCCCCTAACTAAGGCAACACACACAATGCATGCACGTAAGCATAGAAAAGGGTTGTATCCACTCTTTATCACCTTTATACTCTTGCTCGTATATGGCCATGGATGTCCCTCAAAGGCAAGTGGTTTACATAGCCTGGATTGTGCACCCACATACTCACACATTAGCGATATAGCCGTTAAGGCTTGCATCACTATTACTGTCCACCTCGTGATGTGGCAATTACGAGCCCATGCCCTGTAATCATGGCCCACCCATCAGGGCTCATTAAAGGGGGATGATGGTCTGGTCAATCCATTATGTAACAATCAATGGTCACATATGTCCATTACCTCTGCACTCACCCTCTATCACATGGCCTATGGCCATTAAATAAGCCAATGCGTAGGGAAGTTACACAGTTCGAAATTTGAAATCCACACTTGCCTGTTATTGGAAACCCAATTGTGAGGACATTGTTTCCCATGGTTTATAGGTGCTCCAAATAGTAATCCGATGAATGGTAGTGCTATGAGTATTTGTAATTCGAATCAACTTTCAAATGCAAATATTTAGCGTCAAGAGATACTCAACATGTATGATTGTAATATCTTTTACAGGTAACAACGGTAGTTATAACTAGCGTGTTGGAGCATTAAATTCAAGAGAACTTAGTCCTTTGAGCATTCAAATTTAAATACTCCATATCTTCACCCTCATTATCGCAAGCCACAAAGGCCTCAGTATGTATGGGATTTGCAATCATTTTTATTATTTATTTATTTTTTGGAGAAATGATGTTTTGTATGTTAAACCTCTCTTTGTTTTTGACAAGCAATGCATACAATATCAAAGCATCAAATTACTTGACAATTAATCTCAAGTTACAAGATGCAATCATCTTTATGTCATATTTTTTGACAACAAATGACCAATAAAAATCAAGTGGTCTATGTTCTTTAGAAACTGATTTTATTAATTGTGCATTGTAGTGATCCATTAGAGAGATTATAAGTTGAGAAATTTTAAAAATCAAGGGCCTGCACTTCGAAAGGCCCATCCCAAAGAACTTCCGTCAATAATATGTGAAAATTGAAGCTGTATATTTAAACGGATAAGCTAGACAAAGAGCTAGCAATTGTATTGATTTTCCCATGAGTGGTGGCTTCCAATAAAGAGCCCTCTGCATGAGAATATCATTTAAGGATATTTGTCCTGAATCCTGATCGATGACCTACAGAAAGCTTCAAATAAAGAGCCATGCTTTTGATTGACTTTGAGGGAAACGAGAGAAAAATTCTGGTTTGTAGATCTTCATCTTCCTATGCTATTGAAGAAGATAAGAGATGAAAAACACCTTAATGCCAGTGCCAGGTAATATCTCCACCTTTGTCCAGCCTAAAGCTAGGTCCTTCACTAGGAACATCAATATTCTTGATATACTCCACTGAACTCCTATCTACCGAACACTTATTGATGTTAGCTCATTGTCTTGACAGTATTGTGTCATCTAGAAAATGGAATGAGCCACCACCAAGTTGGTGGGAGTTGGGACTGATTTTGAGGCTCCAGATAAATCCCATCCTTACTATGAAAACCATTCCATTCAGGTTTTCTCAGCATTCTTCACCTAAAAGGAATTTGTTTCATGTACTTCAGAAAAATACATTCTAACTTCTGTGTAAGTTTCATATAACTTCCATATACATACTAATTTCCATGTAAACTTCCGTGAAAATTTCCTTAATGTTAGTGGTGTGCATTTGTCTTAAATGGTTCATTATTCATTACCCAATCATTTTCCATGCATTTAAGTTGGTTTCCTTTTTATATGTCTCATTTGTCACCTAGCTTGCTCTTGAATCTTCATTTCACAGATCACCCTTCTGTTTCTTCTCGTCTCTACTGGTTGCTCTTAAACACAATAATTTTTACACTAATGTGGCCTTTTTGTTATCTTTTTCTGTTCGAGATTAGACAGCTAACCTGTAAATCATTGACCCACATAAAAGGCCATCCCATAACTGGTACGTTATCTAAAATAACAGTCAGATACTCTTTGATAATTATTTCAGTCTTGCTGGTCTGTTATCTTTCTGGTTTGTGTATTTCTTCTTTTATTAATCTTATCAAAAGGTGAAAACTTTGTACTTCTCTCTGCTTATTTGCACCCTTTGTCCGACTTGAGGCATACTTTTTAATAGGAAAAATTTAGCAGGGCTGTTATACTCGACCATGTTTTTGCTATTCCAGCCAAATATGGGTAAATAGAAAAAATGACCTCTGCTGGATACTCTTTCTACCCAATTTTCTTGATGGGGATAGCATAAAAGTGTGTGAGAATGATTAATTGCTTAAACAGTGTAAATTTACTCTCTTGACATTAAAATGAAATTACTCATATTTTATTTTGATGAGTGGATCAGAGATGATGGGTACCGCTCCTTCCTCTGTAAAGAGAAGTTCGCACAAGCCTATGCTTTATGATCATCGCCCTCTTCTTTTGAATGAAGACGACCATCAACGAGTTTGTCAGATCCCAAAGCGAAAGGTCAGTACGAGAGAGAGAGAGAGAGAGAGAGAGAGAGAGAGAGAGAGAGAGAGAGAGAGAGAGAGAGAGAGAGAGAGAGAGAG